ATAAAACTGTTTGGGACCTAAAATTTATACAATGTTTAATAATATCTAAAAAAAAACAATGTTTAAAGAAAGACCTTCAGCTAGTTTAGTTCAACCCACATGCAATAGGCTTTAAAAAGCATCTAGTTTGCCAAAAACCATAAAACTAGACTACATAATGGGATCATTGTCCTCCAAACAGTTATATATTCATCAGTTTGTTATCATACCTCGTGCAAAAAGTCTCTTGTCCTTTTGGGCGCATTTGGAAAACGTATAAAATGTGATCGCAAACAGCGGAAATGGAAACTTGTGGTAGCACACCAGATGGGATCGACTCTTTTGTTTGTTCCATCATTGGTTCAAATCTATGTCCATGTCTAGAAAATGGGTATAGTAATCGGCAAATGTAATATAATTTATTTTGAAATTTTCATATTGCCTTTTAAATGTACGATCATTGTATTAAAATCTGAAACTAATATGCAATAAAATGTTAAATTCATTTTGTATCGAAAATAAGCTACTGTTAGTATATTTTTTTAAATATACAAGATTCTGTAGTCAACTTATGGCTAATAATATATTTTGACCTGGATTTATAACATATATTTGTCCCTTACTCTGCCTACTCATGAATCCTACTCTGTGCACAGTTCCTAAACACAGGACGTAGAGTGCAGTCTAATGGTGAGCATGTTACCTTATCTGTCTACATAGGCAACTGTTCATCATGATTAACTGTATCAGTCTAGACTCCTATGCTGTCTTATGGTCCTTCAGTTTTCAGGGAGTGTTAGCAAAAGTACATAACATAAAAATCATATTTTTGACTACTATCTTTAGTTGTACGCTCCACTCCTATAATGAAAGTTATAGCCAAATTTAGGAAAAAGATAATTTAATTTAATTGAGATACCAATGTTTTAAGCTTCTGGTAAATAATTTTTTTCTGTTTTATTTTCTTCAAATCTTTCTAATAACTCTAAACTAGAAAATAAAATAATTTTAATTTAAATCTTATTTTTTCCTTCCTGTCAGTTATCCTTGAATGTAAACTGGAATTTAAAAACTACACATTTAATGAGGGTGACATTCGAATATGTCCTTTTTGACTAACACTAAATACAGCCAATTTGTACAGATGGATGTCTACTCAAAAATCTAAAATTATTACTGGTTATAAAAAGTGAAGGTGTGTATTTAGATAAAGTGTGTATATAGATAAAGATCTAATTTTCTAAAGTATCAAAGTAGAAAAACAAATCCATAGAATGTTAAGCAAGAGGTATCGTAAAGCCTAGTTAAAGGGATTGTCTGCTAAACTGCCTGAGTGGCGTTGCATGTTGCATATGTGTCAATAACTGACAATTTGTAGCTAATGGAGGCTTCATGTGGTGGAACATTAGATTAAGACCCATCTGAATCAACTGGCTATTTGCCTAACTGGCTGTCTGAATATAAGGCTACATGGTTATTTGCCTTACTGGTGGTTGGGCTATCTAGATACCTGGTTACCATAAAATTTGTTGAGACACTGGATAAAAAATGGATATCTGCTTGATATGCTAAGTGTGGCTATCTAGGACTCCTTTGGAGACTATTTTTTCTGTGATTTGCACAGTTTACCGACATTGCATCTTTATCTAAAAGCGCAGTTTCCTACAATAACAATATTTTTTATTTTTTTCTACAACTCTTGATACTTTGTAGTTCCTACTACTCAAATCAAATGACTTGATAGTATTACTCCACTTCATTGTTCCAAGTAGACATAACTAGTTTGAATCTATAACTAGTTAAGGATACTATTGTATTGGAAAATGCCTCTTCATAAAGGCTTTGGAGTCCGAGGTCTTGGGTTCAAATCCCGCTAATTACTAATGACCAATGGATTTATCCTTGTGATAAAGCAGCAACAAAAAGTATACAATATAAAGAGTAGTTGTAACATGATTCAAAACCACACAGCACAAGAAAGACTTAAATCTTAAGGTATACAAGTTTTAGAGAATAAAATAATAAATGGAACTTAAAAGGGCATTTAAATTCCAAATTAATGTAAATCCCCTTCAATCCGTCACCCCAGAGATCGTAATGAAATCCCTAATTCCTACCTCAGAGGATAAGAATTTAAAATAACTTTTGCTTACTGTTAATATTTTGTATTTTGTTTTCCGGTGGACACAGACACCTAAAAAAAATTGTTACGCATTGCTGTGTGAAAAAATGCTATTACTGGCCATCAAGTGATATTTATTATAATAATGGATACTATTATACTATTCAATATTTGTTTCAATGTATAGGTCACAATGAATTTATAGGTTTCAATACTTTAAATGTATCACTTTTCCAGGTAGTTTTTCATATTACTTCTGGCTAGGCTAAGGGCTGTAGCCTTAACAATTTTATAAAATCCATTGTTGATTGTTTGAGTTGATTCTGTGACAGACTGTCTGAGTACCTCAATAGATTACCTTATATTATGATTTTAGACCCAGATGGAAAGGGTTCCAAACACTATTGCGTATATGGGATTTGAGTTTGCAAAAGAGCATACTATTATACTTTGCAAATGGTTCAAATAAAATAGTAATTTTCTATACGCATAAATACCTTTTAGGTACTAAAGCTATCCTTTAAAAATATTTCAAATAAAATAAAATATTAAATTGTACTTTACGCATTGAACGTCTCTGGTAATAATAATAATTTTTTTATAAAAAAATATACCTTGATCTTTGAGTATGTTGTCGTCAAACATAAGTAACGTGAACTCCTCTTGAAATTGATATATTCTTTCTGCAGACCCGTATAAGTGTCCTCAGATCCCCCGCTTGCTGATCAGAAATTCCGATTGAGCTGGAGTGGACCATTGGCTATGAGTGTCAGATTCAGTGTAATATAACGCTGCATTCCAAGGTTGAGTTTGCTTAATGGTCTACCACTACAGGATGTCTCTGTGACAGAGCAATGCTGTGTACTGTGTATGATAAACCTGATACTGCTTAAACAGTTTATAGTGTCAGGTTCAAAGATGAGCGATATGTTTGTTTCTGTACAGAAAAAAAATAGGAATTTATCATTCAAGGTTCATTAAGATAATCAATGATCGGATTTGTAGGATCGGTGTTGATAGCCAAGTGATTAAGATATTGACTTTGGTCTTGGTGCGAGAGACAAGAGTTTCATCCCTGTAACATTCACCAAGATTTGAGAGGTCCTGACTGATTTTTTTTAAGGGTTTGTGATTCTTTCATACAAAATTCCACCAGTGTAGACATAAAATGTTTGATTATAATAATTTAATCTTACAATACATTTACATGATTGTAAAATGCAAATTGAACATTTTTATTAGTATAATTTCATTATTAGGGCGTAAAGTGACTCTTTTGACCGAATTTCAAGTTTCACGACCAAGGCTATTGAAAACGGCTGTTTTTGCTGCAGAAGACAAAAATATTTTATTAATGTAATGAGAATTGGTAATTTTAATTCTAATATTCAAAATGTTTCAAAATATTCAAAACGTAGTCCCTTTATAAACCATATAACACTTAAAATTAACACATACACTTATGTGCTTTCAGTTTAAAAGAATTTTAATAAAAAATGTAATTTAAGAGATGTCAGTCCTCAAAACAAAATATGCTTCTATCAAAAAGCAAAATTATATTACAATCAAGTCTGTAAATTTAAAAAAAGAATTAAAGTAAAATATGTCGGCTTCAGTTTAGATGATTGACTCTTTTTGTTTTCGATTTTATTTTACCCTCCCATACAATTAATTGTTCTAAGAGAGAATTAAATTGACTCCATTGAATATCTTTCGAAGTTGCTTTTACAGGTGGACAAACACGTGAATATTCAATTTAAACCCATTCCTCTTAGTGAACTGCGCTTCATGAGAGTATTTAAGCCAGCTTTGCCTGGCCGGGTAAAAACAAAAACTAAGCCCTATAGTGCTTAATGAATGGCTGTTGTGCTTTATATAACTGGATTTAACTGATATTGTGAGAGGAGAGGGTGGATTACACCCTGCAGTCCCAGAGTCGGCCATTGTTGAGCTTGATTTACATCTTACTCTGATTACTGTTTTGACTCTCTCCCTCCCTCTCTTCAAGATCAGGCTGACTTTTTAAGGAATCGCTTTGAATTTTGAATGTTTGTCATTTGGAGCATTTATTCAGAGAGCACAGAATAGAACAAGTATTTAAAGCACTAATTTTGAGTAGCTGTGCCAAATTTGGTAATTTTAAGTCTACTCTAGGTGTGTCTAATCATCGTAGATTTGGAAAAGGTGTTCTACCCCTATATTCAGCAGTTACTTATGAGTGTTTGGGGGATTGGCTTCACAGTTCACAGCAATGCTTGTTGTATGTAGCCCCTCTATTTCTATTCTTTGCTCTCTGGATTTATTGTCCAAGATTGAAGTAAATTGGGTACAAGGTTTCATTTAGGTACATTGTTTAAGCAGTGTAGTAATGATAAAAAATGTATAATATACCAGTTAGAAAAAACAAACTTTAGATGTGACAGTCTCTTTTATCTTGCATTCGTCTGTCCACATGTATAAACACAATGAAGAAAATACCAGGCAAATCAAGGGGTGGGCCAATATAGTACATTTTGTCCTAGGACACTAGTCCCAGGATAGTTTTTCACATTACTTCAGGCTAGTCCTAGGCGTTGCGGTAAAACTACTTTGGTAAAATCCATTGGTGATTCGGCAGAATTTGAACCCGTGACCTCGGGCACCGAAGTCCTGCGCTCAACCACTAGACCAGTTCGCTCCCCCATATAGTATTATATTTAACTTTACTAATAAAATATTAGTTACCACACTAACCCAGACATAACATTGCTCTCTCGGTTGCGTAGTCTAACACTACAGACCGAGCCATCTACTCACCATATGCTTGAAAATAATTATGAAATGAATAATTATGATTTCCTTGCAATCCGTTTTATACTAGTTTAGGACTGTTTGAATTAACAAAATCTGTCTGTTTCAGCGGGAGCAGCCCCCGACGCCCAAAGAAACTCACGTCCACCCTCAGCCAAACAAGGTGTGTAACATAATAAATATAAAAAAATTGTTGTAGGCTAATATTAAAAAATGTAATTATACTATTACCTGCTAATGGTAATTATCATGCTTTAAAAAAAATTCTCAGATGTCAAATATTTAGACACTGTACTACAGTACTGATTTAATTTATAGTGCTTGTGGGCTAAACAAACGGGAAAGATTTGCAACAAAGTACAGTTTTAACCACATTGAATATATTCATCAGAACTATGTGTTTTCAAGCAAAGTTAAAAATTTTAGGATTGAAATATACACAGGAAATTTAATTTACATAAGGGTATTGTGGACTCTACTGAAAGTAGGCTTTCAACAACGTAAGTTTTAAGTATTTTTCACTTTACAAGCTGAATATATTCCAACAGTTCCTAGGTGTTATCAAGCTAAATTCAAATGTTAGTACCACGAGAGACAGCACATTTAGTTAACATTACTTGCAGAGGGAGCTTGCAACAAACTATATTTTCCTTTTTGCAAGCTGATAATATTAGGCAGTTTATAATTCTTAATAAATAACCTACATTCAAAATGCAATCATTATACATGTGGACACGGAATACTGATTCCATTTTCATTGCTTATGAATAGGAAAGGGGCTTACAACAAAGTACAGTATTTTCCACTTTGCAGCCTGAATATATTCAACAGTTCCTTGATGTTGTCAAGCAAAATTCAAATTTAGAACCAAAATGGACACAGTATTTACACTTCATTCAGACTAAACGTACTGAGAGTTTGTAACAAAGTACAGCATTTTCAACTTTGACACCTGAATATGTTAAAAGCTTCCCTCCAAACATCTCACTCGTGTTGACAAGATGTTGGAAGTATTGCAGACATCCCTCAGGAACACTTATCTCGTAAACCTCACCTGCAGTCGTAAACTGTCAGCTGTTTGGCGGTTTAAATCACGGCTTCGCTCCTTGTATTTTAACGTTAACCTTCCAAAAAAAATGCTAGTAGCCACCAAAAAACTTGGTGGCAATATGACAGGTGTTTATTCTCTGTTATGATGTAAAGAATTTAGTATTTCAAATTCTGTTATGATTTTTAAATTTATCTTTTTTGATAAATCACTTCAGATAGTGGTAAAAATTAACTATAAGCCATGATTTAAACGAATAAAAAGTGAGTTTTTACGAGTAGGCTAAAGGAGGTGTAGTAGTTTCATGAATGATTAATTGGTCCCATAAGAGTTTTTGTGTGTTTTCGACTATCCTGAAAATTAAAACACAATGTAATCAGTGTTTATTTACAACCATTCATAGCACTCTCTCATGTATGCAATTTGATCTTAGTATATGTATAAAAAAACATGCTTTACACAAAATTAGCAATTCAAAATTAATTTGTTTCACTAGATACAAGTTTTTAATAAATAGCTTTGTCTCATAATCAGATTGCGGGGTTTCAAAAATATATGTTTAAACATGAATGAGCTAATGCTTAAGTACCTGATGGTTCACAAGTTTTTTGTGCTATGGGGATAGTTTGATTATAAAAGATACAGCTTACAAGAAATTGACCTTTTAGTGCTATCCATGATTATGTGTGGAGATTTTTACCTTCACACTCTGAGTGATCAAATAATTTATCTGAGTCCCATTATTCCAATATTGACTACATTTTTTATGAATAAAATGTTATTTCTTGGTAAAGTTGTAGAAAAATATACAAGTTTTAAGTGTTATTGAAAAATACTTTATAAGCTTCTCTGAAAACTGAAGGTCCATTAGACAATACAGGGGATGTCCAGACTGATACAGTTAATCATGATGTATGATGTGATCATGATGTACCTAAGTAGTCAGATTAGGCAACATGCTCACCATTACTGGACTGTACTTCCATACATCTTGTGTGGCGGCTGTGTACATTAACGGGGGGCATAATGAGTAGGCAGTAAGGGCATTTGCTGAACATGTTGAACAAACAAATGATTAGTAAATTTTTAATTAGGTATTTTTAAATTTTTGCAAAAATACTAACGATTCAGAGGTAGTACTAAATTGATTTGAATCAGTGGTTGTTTTCCTAGTAATATAAAAACAGAAGGAGTCACTAAAATTTTTAAAATTTAAATTCATTCTAAGTCACAGATTTTTACAAGGACCTCAGATATAAAATATTCAAAACAGTTGTATTTTTTTCTGTGAATTTTAAGCAACTGTGGACAAAAATAGTCTATTTGCAACTCGTGTATTAAAAAAAAGAACAGAATAGAGCATTTTTTACACTTATCATTCCTCGAAAATGTTATTTGGCTATTATAAAACAGATTTAACTAGATTTTTATTATAAAACAGATAGCTTATTAGAGAGAATTTTAGGCAACATTTTACTGGAAAGACATGTATTTTTTTATTAAAGGGAACCAGTAGTCACATTTAAATTTGTTTTAGTTAAAATCATTGCATTAGGAATTGTGTGGTCTGACGATTTAAATGTAATCACAATAAAGTGTAAATGTATACATTGAATTTTAAACTTGTATAATAGAAAAAAAAAACCACACGGGTGAGCTTTTAGTGGTGTAGAATAGTTGTTTCGAACAATACTTCCGAAGCAATAGGACATTGTACTACTAGAGTGCACTTAGCGCTTATTACAGGTTTTGTTGAAACACTGTACATGCTGTATATATTTATATTCTTACCCTTGGGCAAAAGCGCAAAAAATAATCAGCATTCTATACTTGGAGGATCATTTTCACTACTCTGAACTCTATGATGAATTTACCATTCTATGGTTTGTTCATGTTTCTCCATTCTATGGTGATAAGTGGAGCCATCATTCTATACTCAAAGATGAAATAGGTTTTTCCACTAATATACGGGGTGTCCGGTAAGAAAATATTTAAACACTGAGAAATGGTTTTGTTGGTCGTACATAATAGAGAGAAAGTCAAGAATTACATTTTCTCCAGAAACGGTTTGTTCACCAGATATCTGCCATTTTGTTGTTTACATAAACATTTTTATCTTGAGATCTTTAAACCGATTTTTATGAAATGAGTATATGTATTTTTAGGTAAAAGAGACCTATGAGGTTGGTTTTGCATTTTGTAATTTGAAATTAGACCAACATAATTTTTTAATGATAAAATTGTTTCTACCTTATACAGTTTTTTGTCTACTAATTAAAGATCAGTTCCAAAAATTCAAAGACTTTATGTAAAGAAAAATAAAATTGCGGATATCTGATTAACAAAAAAAATTTTCACTCTTGATTTTCGCTTTATTTTGACCTATAAAATTATTTTCCGGAGTTTGACTGTTTACTTACTGAACATATGTATTTTGTGTTACGAATTGTAGCAAATTATATTTTTATTTCAATTATCCATTGTAATGGGTATACCTATGGAAATGAGGTGTATTATGTAGTACAATGTATAACCGAGGTGGTGGTGTAGGGGGGAGTTTGCACTGGTTTGCCCATGGTGCTGACGAGCCTGTCTTGGTGAACAAACATTCAGGTAAACTAGTTCTGTCACAAAGTAGCCGCTCACTAACCCCTCCCTTGATAGACCAACATAATACACTTGGATTATCAAAACTTTGTGTTTATCTTGGTGCTAGTTATTCTGAAATATCAAGGGACAAGGAAAACACTTTCAGAGTTTATTTTCCTACTCCTGGATATTCATTTGTACCATTGACTATACACCTCTGATGATTTGTACTCGTTTAAAATATATGTTTACCTTACAATATGCTTTGAAATTGTCACTACCACGTTTTCATGTCCATTACCACATACTTGTGTGATCATAATACCACAAATTATGGTCGATGTTGAATTTTTAAATGACGAATCAAACTATAGAACATACCTCAATATGTGTTTCCACAAAATATTTTGTAATGACGTATTTTTGGGATATTGTAAGGTAAACAAATATTTATGAAAACACTATGTTGTTTGAAGGACTATTGTGGACTTCTTTATACTGATAAAAAATTGTCCACAGGAAACTCTCATACAACATAGACTCTAATCGCCAACAATGTACTTTTGGCAAAGAAAGCACTACCTATGTTTACAAAATCTGATATTGTTGGCGTATCAGTAAAAGTAAAATACAACTTCTCTTGATGATTTGTTCCCATTTCCTGTGGTTGAAGGCAACCGTTTTCCAATATTGTTGATTTGTGATAACTTTGTGGGTTGGTTTGTAGTTTGTACTAACCAAGTAGTGATTTTTTGTGGTTGGTTTTGTGATTAACATTAGATATTTTTGACAAAGTTAGGGGTAAAATACATCGTTGCAATATAATTTTTACATTGACTCTTTAAGAATTTTCAAAAGCAAAGTATTGAGTAAGTGCATATAGATTCACATTGTTTGTTATAGTTTCATATTTAAATTTCTCATACATTCGCTTCAATTCTAGACTTCTTAAACACTATTCTGCTAAAAATTAGTATGGATTCAGAGTTTTAGTTCTCACTTTCCATGCTTTTAGTTCACCTTTTACAATATATACTTTGCCATTTTGGTATCTTTTCGAAATACTATATTAACTGAAAATCCAAGTCTAATATACATATAACACGAAATCACTTTGACATTACCACACAAAGTAAAACCAGGTGAAACTCCTGGCTAATTATCTATTCCAAAAATCACCAATTTACCAAATAATCTTCCATTTACTCTCAAACACTCACAACAATATTTCCAACAATGACTCAATTAAACTATCAGCTGATATGCAGTACTAATGACACATGAGTGTGTTACTCGGAAGAAGAGGAAGTGATGTTATAAGAATGACTCATATCTCACACTACAGTATCTAAGAGGCACAAGCATTCATTACTGAACTTTGCTTCGTTCCTAGCAAGTGGCTGGATTGTCAGTATTTCATAATGAATGTAATTTGTGCTCCGTCTCTTCCGTCTTTTTCTCGCGCTTTCGTTTGTAAGTGGTTTACTTCTTGCAATAATTCTTAAAAGTTTTGAATGTTAAGTTTTGTCTAATATTATTGAGTTTTTGTTTTTTGAGTGGTTTTGTTTTAATAACTTTTGTATTTTTTTTTCTAATGTTATTACTGTCCAATTTTGAAAGATAGGTTTGAGATTGGTCAATTTTTTAACTACTGTTTTACACAGTGTAATGATAATCAAATTGCACTTAAATATTGAATAATTTTGATCTAAAAATAAAAATAAAACTTTCCAATACCTATTGATTATTTATTGTAATAACGTAAGTTTTAACACAGTAAAACAACTTTGAACAAGTGCAGTGATAGTATTATGGTAAAAAAAAAATGTAGGGATTTACAGAAATGTAATCATGTGAATTGTTTCCGTGTGCTCTTTTTCTTCCAATATTTTGCAAACATGTAGCATCTTAGAAAGGTTTTATACACACTAATGTCCGTGTACTTCCTAGGCAATACCTGGCTTCCAGATGACACAGTTTCCCAAGTCTATGATGGTAGTCTTCCCCTAAACCAAGGTAGATTTTGAGGCTATGAAGCACATTTGGTTTTGGTTTTGTGTGTGTTTGCGTTTTGCTTAGTTTTAGTTAGCTTTGTGTTTTTTGTATATTTTGTGTAGTTTTTTTATCAGATAAAACAAAAGAGTTTGAAAAGTTTGGTCACGTATATTTTGTTTTTGTTGGTTGGCAATTATTTTTATGAATATACACATGTTTATTTAATTGTTACAGACTCTTTAGTTTTGCCTTAGTCACTTGAGGTGAAAAGTTCAATTGCAATTTAGTAATTTTAATACTAGCCTGTTTTTAAAGGTATTATCAAATAACGTCTTTGCACTCTAATTCCAAATACCCATTAATAGACAAAATAAAAAGTTACGGAGAGGGCTCTGTGCACGTGCACAGAGCTGTGAACAAATAATCTGTTTAGGAATTTGAAAAAATAAATAGATATTTAATAGTAAGAGCACACTGCACAGCTTACCTTTTTTTATAAAATAACTATTCAATATTTTAAAGAACTTTGGATAATAATATTACAAATGGACTCTGTTATAGTTATAGGCATATAGGAAAATACATCCCCCTCTGTATACTTGTACTGTAAAAATTTGCTGGATGGTAAAAATAGCGACCAGTATTGTTTATTCACTTTGAACTTTTTCAACGGTCCAAATTAGTAAAATTCTGCTTCAATTCCACTGAAACTAAGGTCCTCGCCACCCTAACTTGAGGCAGCCCAAGGCTGAACTCCGTATATCCAGTGCAGGCTTGGGCTGCCTCAAGTTAGGGTGGCAAGGACTATAATGGAGTTTTTTTCTAAAACTTACATCCAATAATATTTAATCCAGGACAAACACCAATTTCTCAGTCTCGGGGCTTTTTGATGAAGTGTAACTGATCAAAAACCATTCACATTTTGTATGTATTTACAGATTTACTATCTTGTAAAATAAGAGTACAAGTGTAAGCAGTCTTGAAGAGTTAATTGCCTATGTTTGTGAATATTTCATTTGACGACTTTGTTAAATTGTTTATTCATGCATTATAGCTATATTAATGGGGTATGTAACAGTTAATGCCAGCAATATGCCAGGCCTGGCAGTAATGGCCTCAATTGTGTGGACATTGTGAACACAACCTGCCATCACAGCTTTAATGTCACCTTTATATCATGCTGCCGCCATGTGTGCCTAGCTAACCTGACTATTAAATTGTATAGTGTGGGTCACTTGACATCTTTTGGGGTTAGTGTTGAGGGTGTTAAAGGATTCTTAATGTGGGTACATCATTTTTTTTTACCTACGACTGTTTTTGTAAACTAGCTTTTCAATTCAGTTCTTAAAGTTAAAAAGATTCACTTTACAGTATTGTTTACTTACTTTACAGAATTGTTTTGTTACTTTACTGTACAAGTTTAGACCAATAAGATTGAAGGATTGAGAGAAAATAAGTAAAATATTACTGCTTCGAGTAGCAATGAGAGGTTATAAACAAAAACATAACCTCTCTTAGAAGTTATGAATAATGATTGGTAGTATTTTAAAATCAGTCGTAGGTAAAGTAGTATACACAATTCACCTATTTAGCCTTTAAGATACTCATGAAAGTTTCAAAGGCATTCACCAAGACGTGTACCTTAAATTTACCTCTCATGTCTTATCTTTAGGCGATAGTAGCTTAACTACTACAGTATTTTGGAAGAAAAACTAGTGATATATTTGTGGGTTTGCATGTCTTATAAATAACTAATATTGGTGATGGTGAGGTAGATAATTTAACTAAAATTTTGTATTAACGCTGTTGTTTATAAATACATACTTAAAACAATTTTATTAAGTAATATTTTTCTTTGTTCAGGCAAAGAAAACGCAGCAAGCCAACGAGACAGGGAAGAAAGGTTGCGAATTCTTAAAGAGAAACAAAATGAAGAACGACAAAGGAAACTGGATGAGCTCAAACAACAGGTAACATGTTTATACTAGTAGACTTGAGTGAATTGTATTAGCGTCTCATATGGTTCAAGGAAAATGGAGCAGTTGTACTGCAGTTTTCTTACTATTACAGTTTCTATGCTTTTATACATAGTATTACTCGGTATTACCTATTAGATTTTTACTGCTTGAGGCATTCTGAAAAAAGTATATGTTAATAAATACAGAATTTGAATTGCTTCTGTAATTTGTTACAAGTACATTTGTAACATAACTGAAGTTGTTACGTATACTTTTGTGGCTTGTGTCATGAGAGTTCATGGTGTTTTTTGGCGTGTGTTAGCATTTACGCCAAAAAACCCACCAGCATGATTCTGAAGCCAGACTTATTGCTGGTTGAGGACAATTATTGGAAGCTATGGCATTTCTTTTATGTTAGACTACTATTACAGTACCCTAACAAAAACTAAAAGAGGAAATATAATGTTTGTTAGTTGAACAATCTGTGAGCAGCTCATTCAACTGTGCTCTTTTTTATTAAAATTGGCTACAGCGGTCCATAAAGATGTGATGTGTACTTTAGTATCCAATAGTAAATGGTTATGCTTTTGAATTTAGTTAAGTCAATGTCTTGTTTTAAATTGTTTCTGGCATCAACCGCGGTGTCTATTAACTTTAAATCAAGGTTGAAACTTCTGTAAGCAAATTTTATAAGGCTACGAGGTTGATGTTAACAATTTATGGATTCTGAGCTCTGATGCTGTCTGGGAAAGGCTACGAATAACATATATCATAAAGGTTATGTTGGGATTTATTAAGTCAACCAAGGAAATTATCAACGTTATGATGATATTATAGGCGCTGGCTGCTCAGAAGTTCCGAGAGCAGAAGGAGGAAGAGCGCCGGCGCAGGATGGAGGAGTTGCGGCTGCGAGACACTGACCGCAGACATCAGGTGGAGGAGCGGAAACGGCAAATCTGGGAGGCGGAGAGAGACAGACGCGAGGCCATACTCAGGAAAAACCAGGTACAGTAGACTCATACAAGAGTAATACAAAACAAATTTGAACCTAACGTAATTGTTTTGAATATGCTTTAACATATATATTTTTACTTACTTTTACAAGTAATAATGCATCTGTAAGCAATTTTTTTTGCAGGAGCGAGAGATCCGAATGGAGACCAAGAGGCGGAACGAGCGCAGTTCCATCGTGTTTGCGTTCGGCAGCTCCACACCGAGGATGCTAGAGCCGGCAGACACGGGAGGATCCTATTGGGCGACTAGGAGGTAAATAATCATCCCGCAAACTCTGCACTCAATAGTCTTAAGTTCTCGGCGTACCCCTAAAACACTTTAAAGGTCCCAAAAACAAGGTTTCTTTTTTGCTTTCTGGAGTGCATGCTCGCTTAATCTTTTTACCACATATAAAAAGAAAGATGACCTTCTTGGCTTTCATTTAAGTTAATTGAATTTTCCTATTATTTGGACAATTATCATCATCAATTATCATCCTAAACAAACTTCATCATATAAGAAAAAATATGTTTTATTGACCTATTAAAATCAGTCAAGCCACATTCCGAATGAGCTAACTAAGGTGAACAATTTTACAATAATACAGCACCCATCTGCTTTTAATTTTTTGATACATTTTGTCAATGGCTTTTGGTGATTCACTAAAAATTGGAAATTATGTGCACTGAAATAAAAAAAAAAAATTAAGAATGAAACTTAAACGTAAATGGAATATCTTACATGTAGTTATTGCAGAAAACCGCTCACAGCTGATCAGGAATGGGTCGCTATAAATATTGGATTTACACTTGTAATGTAAAATACTTACTCAAATACCACATCCTTAAATACAATATTCTAAAATTGAAATTGCCCACATTACACATTTTTTTCAACTGTATTTCAATTTCACACATTTATTTGACCATTGTTTGTGATCCGTTGTCCGCAGGGCGACATCAACCAGCAATGTGATGATGCTGTCCATGTCAGCCGCCCCTGGACCACTCACCAGGAGGAGTTCCGAGCGCGAACTCGACGGAAGCAAGAAGAGAGCGACGAGCGCTGGAGGCATCAATCGAGCCAAGCAGCCAGGTCAGTTGAACTTTTTGATTGCCAGTCGGTGATAGTGTCTTGGGATCAGCAGCGGTGTGGAGAAAAAGAGTGGTGCATTTGTAGCAAAAGAATGGAGCATTTTTAGCAAAAGAGTGGAGCATTTTTCGGAGCACTTTGGGAGCAGAGTGAAGCGATTTCTGGAGCCAGTTTGGTGCATATTTGCGTGCAGCAGTTGAAAGACAACCATGTACATGGTTGTTTTACTTGTTACAAAGCATTTATTTATTATGTTGGGCATTATATTTTAGCACATTATTGTTGTCCGACTTTTAGTTTATTGAGCTGTAAGGTACAATTCATTTTTCAGCTGTAAATGTAACTGGTAAAACATTTTTACTCTTCCTGTAATTCAATACCCAAAAACAGTAATAATTAGAGTATTTAGTTTATGTATCAAACCTTCTCAATTCCTAACGAGTAGGCTAGTGGGGTTTCCACCGAAGAAGATTATTTAATTTAGCCTTTTATTTTAATAAGGTTTCATTGTTTGAAATAGTTGGGAATACATAATTTTGGGGAATTTTTAAAGCTCTTTCCAGCTTGTTAGTAGATAACTCAGGTTGACAAAAATAAACATTTTAAAATTTAATTGTGTTTACATTGGGGAGATCGACATGATCATTTAGTTTTGAATGATAAGAAGGATTAATTAATATGTATTATATAGATTTTTTTTAAATCTGGATGCTTAGAACTTTAAATACAATTGGGATTTAGTTGGAAACTTAACTGGTGATAGCCATTACCTAGGAAATCAATTTCATCAATATACTTTAAGATGTAGAATATTTTTGTTATGAAAGGTAATGGTGAAATCATGATACGTAATTTTTTTAGATATGGTGTACCTAATTTAGCAGTTTAGTCTGGGGTGTATAAACCAAGAACTGAAAAAACTATTGCATTTACTTAAGTGATCAATCCATACTAATATTTTTTTTTATTATTATAACTCAAGACATTCAAATTGTCCAACAAAATGGATGTTGAAGGATTATTGGTGATATTTTCTTTCCCTACATGAAACCAAAGTTTCACAATGTTTCCATATGTAAGTCCACTGTCGTCTTTAGTTGCGAAAGAACCTAGAGAGTAACATATAAACCAGGCATTCCTGGGAAACAATGAGTAGCTGACAGCAACAAATGGTTTTCTGTTTGTAACTCTAACCTGAGCCTTCAACGTGATCATTATTGATTGTTAAAGTTAAAAGTTTCAACTAATTTTTCTTTTTTCATTTTATTTACTTAAATTTTGTCGGAACTAAAAAATTTTGTGTTCAGTTATGTTTGTAGCTACTATTCTAGTTCCCTACCTATAGAAGTGGTCAGACCACAGATTAAGAAACCTTTTCTAATTTATTACTGAAATGTCTACAATAATCCTTTAAAAAAATATACTGAACAACACCAACAGTGAATGGAAACAATAACTGGTGTAGCATTTAGGGACATCCCTATTATTTAGCGTAGACAGTTGATCTAGATCCATCGTAAAACTCATGAACAGTGAACACCTCACAATCCAGCCGCAGTGTAGCAAGCACAATCTGCACCAGAGTGGAAAGACCCACTGTACACCGTTGTCTCAAATAATGTGTTTTCACCCACATGTTTTGCAGATGGCTGGCGCACCAGTATATATGATGTATTTCAGTGGGACAACACCCAAAACACCCATCTCCCTTCCCATAATCCCCCGTTTGGTGAGTTTCCCGCAGTTTTAAGCTTGTGCACCTGGTTTGTGTCCGATCGTCTTGTCCTTCGCTGGTGCTTAAACTCTTGTGTTTTTCAAAGCATCAATGTTAGGCCTACCATCGCCTGACGAGGCCTAGGTTTGGTTAGGAGTGAACGAGCATTTGGATTTTGTATTGGATTCACAGGTGATACAGTTTTTGGGTTTTTAGAACGCGCAATACCAAATTAAGGGTATTTTTATTTTAAATCTGTTAGACATTACCTCAATTTTGAGTCAGTTGGAAAGAAAAATTCCTAATTAAGTACATTAACTTTCAGTGTATAATAATAGCAAAGCCTGAAAAAGTATTATTTCATAAAACAAATTAGAGGTGGGGGTTAAATTATGTGTCTTGCGTAGTATAATTCAACTTTGGGGTGTCTAAATATTTGGCAGTACATTTATTAATTGATTTAAGAGAATATGTTGAAAGTGAAGATTCAAATAATTAACCTCTTAAGTTATTGATTTTTTTTAAACTGCACTGGACCTATAGGCCAGTAAAAATAGGTTTTTGCCCGGAAATAATTCTCGGAAAGCTGGAAATCGTTTTAATCCTTTTGTTTTATATAGAAGTAAAAGGATTTGAAGTTTGTCCCATTTTTCCAGGTGAGCTTCTGACCTGGGACCACAAAAACCTTGAAATTTAGGGTTATTTTTTAGTTTTTACTAAAACGTCAACAAACCGTCCAAGCTACAGAAAAACACATAGTAAAGGAATTGTAGAGCATAAAATTCCACATCCATTAAGTATATGGTGATGAATATCGAACCAATATTAAGCTATTTATAGTAATTTAAATAAAGTTATTTTATTAAAAATTATTGAACACTGCATATTTAACATTTATTTTTCTTCTAGAAGATGGATTCCAAGTACATTATTATTTACAAAGTAATTAAAACGAATTACAAATACCCTCGCCGCAGCAAACCTGCAGACTAAATGATTTTCCATTTACCTGGCTGGATTTATACTAAAATATTCCCTAAAAATTGTCAGATTTAATTCCTATTTAATTAACATTAATTTTAGTGATTCCTTAGGTTTGCTGCTACAGATAAGATATTGAGATGTGTTTTTTATTTGCAATGTCGATAGCTTAGCATTAAATAAACAAAGTTTTCAAATTTGGTTTAAATATATCCATAAACATGCAAACTACAACAGTTTATTTATTCTCCATAAGAATAACATGGGAATTTAAATTTAAATTTTTGAATTATCCCTGTAACCGTTGGGCATACAACAACGCTTCAATATACAAATAAATTGTTACAAAAAAGTTTGGAGAGAAATTATGAAATTTTGTGCTTTTGGGGTCAAAAATAGGAAAATCTATTTTTACCCCATAAAAACCCCATAAGCCCCCGCTCCCACAGTACGATTATGATGGTTCGTGAACTCATTAGAATAAATGTAGGTTTACACGTTTGTACCAAATTTCATCAAAATCCGATCATTGAACATTGGATATTTAACATTTATATTTATTCTAGAAAATGGATTCCAAATACATTATTATTTACAAAGTAATTAATACAAATTACAAAAAACTGATCAATTTTTTTGTCTCTTTTGTCGTGAATCATGAATTACAGGTCTAACTTCCTCCTCCTCTGTGCGCGCTCATAGCTTATTTTTGGTTTTTCTTTCCCTGGTGGGTTGGTGCAAGAAACGTCTTTAGAGTGTTGTATATTTGACTCTGTACTTCCTACAAGTGCAACCACTTTTACAACCTTTCGCACACTTACATAAGATAGTGTTAAGAGGATCTGGTAGTGCAGCTTCAACATTTGTTGGTTTTGGAAGTATCCCATGCTTATATAACTTCCAGCCCCAATCAGTAGGCTTTACCTTCCGCGTGGTTGAATTGAGTCTTCATTGGTTTCTCCATAGGATTCCGCCGAAGGAGTAAATGCATTGCAGCCAGTGTCAAGTTTGATGAAACAATGTCCCTCACCTTGCCATAAGAACACTTTCTTGCAAATGAAGGAAATAAACACAATCTCATAACCTTGAATACTCAAAGATTGAAGCAAGAAAACTGTGAAGCAGGCTGCCGAGGATGCAGATACTACTATTGTCATGCAAGCCATCTAACTAGTTCAGCAGTCAGAACGTGTTATAATCGTGGGGGGAAGATATTGACCTCAGTGTGCTCTTAACTGAATTTGTTCCCAAATCAGCCACTATTTATATACCTCTTCACCTCTTGAAACCCGGGGAAAGGGAAGTCCAGCAATACGTTTTATTCCCCAGTGAAATTCAAATATTCTTCGACCTTTAAAAGCAATATCTTGTTTCTACGTGCATTTGGTGGCTGAAATTGCTTACTGATGGGGGCTGGAAGTCATCTAAGCATGGGATACTTCCAAATCCCAACAAATGTTGAAGCTGCACCACCAGATCTTCTTAACAATATCTCATGTAAGTGTGCAAAAGGGTGTAAAAGTGGTTGCACTTATCGGAAGAACGGAGTCAAATGTACGATGCATGTTTTTTAAAGTTCTCTGTTCCAGCGCTGTGATTGGCATTTTGTAGAGCTTAAACAAATAAATAATTTATTTGTATATTGAAGCATTGTTGTATGCCCAACGGTTACAGGGATAATAAAAAAAAAAATTTAAATTTAAATTCCCATGTTATTCTTATGGAGAATAAATAAACTGTTGAAGTTTGCTTGTTTATGAAAATATTTGAACAACATTTGGAAATTTTGTTTATTTAATACTAAGCTATCTACATTGCAATAAAAAACACATCTCAATATCTTCCCTGTAGCCGCAAACCTAAGGACTCACTAAAATTAATGTTAATTAAATAGGAATTAAATCTGACAATTTTTAGGGAATATTTTAGTATAAATCCAGCCAGGTAAATGGAAAATCATTTAGTCTGCAGGTTTGCTGCGTCGAGGGTATTTGTAATTCGTTTTAATTACTTTGTAAATAATAATGTACTTGGAATCCATCTTCTAGAAGAAATATAAATGTTAAATATGCAATGTTCAATAATTTTAAATAAAATAACTTTATTTAAATTACTATAAATAGCTTAATATTGGTTCGATATTCATCACCATATACTCAATAGATGCGGAATTTTATGCTCTACAATTCCTTTACTATGTGTTTTTCTGTAGGCTGGACGGTTCTTTGACGATTTAGTAAAAACTAGAAAATAACCCTAAATTTCAAGGTTTTTGTGGTCCCAGGTCAGAAGCTCACCTGGAAAAATGGGACAAACTTTAAGTCCTTTTACTTCCATACAAAACGAAACGATTAAAACGATTTCCAGCTTTCCGAGAATTATTTCCAAGCACAGCCAATTTTTTAACTAATTTTACTGGCCTACTATTATTGTTATTGGAAAAAAGTATTGAATACAAATATTCTTATGCTCGTCCACTTCTATACTTATAGTGTGTATATTAATAATTGATTTAAGAATGTGCTTTTGTGAAGTATTATTTAGCGTTGATTATTTCAAATAGACATAATTTCAATTAGTTTTTAAACTTAGTATACCATAGTCAAATTAAATGAATTTCATACCAATAGTTGACCTTAATCAAGTGTCTTAAGTATTTTGCATTTAGCAAATTAAAGATACAAATTTAATGACTTAGTGTTTTACTTTTTACCACATCTTCATACCATTTCATGATTTATAAGTACTAAACAATCATTCATTCAATCATTGTTGTTAAATCAACCAATTATGTGAGGAATGCTTAACTTCATATCATACATTATTTTATTGTTCTTGTCATGTTCTTGAATATTTTTTTTCAATAACCTACAAATTATTGATGGGTGTTAATTTTTATTTTTAGTAGTAGAAGGATTCATTTCAAGACATTTTTCCGTTTCCTCTAAGCAATTGTCCGTAGGATAAAGATATGTTTTTGGACAAAATAATTTTGTTATGTTTTTGTAAAAACATTGTTTACAATCTGTTTCATGCTGCCTCTGTTAGAAAATTTGTCAAAAAAGCATGTTTTGAATGACGTTAATATCACAAACTATAGATTAATTACTAGACCTTTTTGAAATATTCACACTGTAAAAAATATAATTTTCCTTTTTTATTAAAGGTTATAATAAATAGACAATTTGCAGTATAGTTGAGCAGCATGGTTTGCTTAATTTTAATAAACTAATTAATTATCATTTAAAAAATTTTGAAATTAGGTTGCAACATCAGAATAGTTAGCTTTTTGTCAGCTTGAAATAGTCATATATATTTTTTTCATTTTAATGTCATATATTTTTATTTATTCAGTTATGGTATTAGCATGATATTTCTTTTGGCATATTTTCATCTTCACACTTCACATGCACTTAATTTTAGAAAGATGCATCGGGAAGGGTATTCATAAAGCATCATCATTAAAGCACTCTTCATGCTTTAGTTTCACCTTTCATATTCAATACACTTTACCGAGTACTTAAAGAAAAAAACAATTATCCTACAATAAATGAATTAAGTCTTTATGTAATCAGATGGAAAATGTTACTCTTTAAATACAGTACGATCATTTTGTATAGCAATGTTGTACTTTTTCAACCATTAAAGTTACTAACAGTTTCAGAATCAGAGTTTAATGTTAACCAAGTGTTTGGTAACATGTGTTCTAATCTCATTGTAACTTTGTTACTAACATCTAGCTATTTTGTTATGTGTTTTACGTGTTATTGTTTTAATAGATAAGTTGTTGTAATTTTTATCTTTCATCATATGTGTGTAATAGTTATTTGGAGGGTGTCAATTTTTGCGTACTTAATTTTAGTTTTTCAAATAAAATTACTTTTTAATATTGAGTTATATAATTGGATTTACAATTTTTAAGCATGCACTTTGTCTTGTATCTTAAGACCAGCTCAATTTAATAACACCAGAAATCAGTTTTGTGAAAAGGTTGAAAAAATTACGTTATCATGGCAATTAATGCTTAGCAAACCTGAGATCATTTTTGCAGTTAATATTTACATTGTTTCATCATCCTGATGATATCCATTAACATTTTTTTAATACTAAAAGTGTCAGGTATTTTCTCTCAAATTTGGATTAAAAGGTTTTGGTGTGGACTGCAATTTCTCATCCTCAATTTGCACTCACAATAATTTATGTCAATGTTTCATCGGGTGAGAATTATCTTAGTGTTGGACTATATCTGAGTTGTTGGTTATGGTTTAGTCTTCATTTTGTTGTCTACCAGTTACCAACTCATGGTGATTCAGACGTGTACCAAGCACACAAAAAATAAGGTTTGTTACTTATCCTTTTTGTTCATTCCACGTCATAAAAGTAATTGGTTCATTGTTTGCAGTAGCTTTTTGATGGTTGAAAAGTGGATCCAGCTGTCTTTGATAAAATTGCATTTAAAAAATGACCTTGGCTAATGAAACAGCTGATCATTAAAAATCTGCTGAGTAGTGAGTTTTTGGTCAGTATAAAAGTATTAAGATTAAAAAATCTCCTTGTATTTAGCTTTAAAAATGAGCTCTTAGGTCTATGTTGTTATTGTCCAAAAATAATGATAGTCCATTGAGTTATCTGTCAGTCTGGGACAGTGTGTTGCTGGTATACGTCTGACACTATGTCAGTGTCAGCTATGTGGGAGTGTGTATTGTCACTAACACGGTTGTAGGGGAGGAGGACCGAGAGGAAAGAGAAGTACCAGACAGCGGCACCGTCACGCCCGTCCCTCCAGCTGGCACACCGTCCTCGCGCGCCAACCGACGCAGGACAGATCTGATGCCGACCATGCCCAGCCCACGCGACCGGCCGTACTCTGCGCGATCACCAGGTAGAGCGTTCTCCATGTCGCGACTAGACATACTAGCCCAGCCGAGGCGACCTAAGCCGAAGGAGCCGTCCGGTCCAGCCACCGACCCTTCACTGTCACGCTCAATGTCGCATCTAGCGCACCGCCCATTGCAGCGCAAAGACACGTCGCGCAGCATGGTGCAACTGCACGCCCCCGTGCCCCCGCCGCGCGCCACACGGGCTGAGCGTCTCAGACGTAAGGCGCGCGAGTCTGCGGGTGGCCGGGCGGAGAGTATGCCTACGTCTCCAGGTAACTGCTGCACGCTCGCTTGCTTCCGCTTGGTTTTGGTGCGGCTTTTTTGGAGTGTAAATTGATTAGGTTTTCAGTTTTCAGATCCAGGCATAAATTAAATAATTAGTATAAAATACTTACTGTCCTTGTACTTAATACAGGGTAACACAAGAAAAGTGTCATCTTTGACTAAGGATATAACTGAACATTCCATTCCTATAATAATTTTGTAGCTTAAATTAAACATTCCTTAACATTTTTTTAATAAATTTAACATCATTTAAAGATTAGCTGAAGACAGTAAATGCTAGTCTGTCCAGTTTGTATTGAGGGCATCGATTCGTCAATCTATCAGGTTTAATCTATTACTATCAGGTTCTTCTTAATAACATATTTTAAAATCCTAACTAAATAAAACCATAATTTAAAGCAATACTAATTTGGCTAAGTTTGATAAAATATTAACTGAAGATCTCTGTGTCAAAATTTTTTCATAGAGTTTTATGTTTTGTTTTGGGTTAGAATTATATATACCTATGTGGTAACAACATAAAAATAGTTTGATGAAATATTAACTGAAGATCTCTCTGTCAAAATTTTTTCATAGAGTTTTATGTTTTGTTTTGGGTTAGAATTATATATACCTATGTGGTAACAACATAAAAATAAATTTATATTGTTTAGCAAAATGTTTATTTTTATACTCTACGTCATTTGGGTGAATAAATGATCAAAATATAGAGTCAAAATAACAAATGTAGGCAATGACTTTGTGATTGTGTTTTGTCCAGTGATTTTGAGCTGGTGAAGGAGTTAGCCAAACCTGAGCTTGAGCTTGCAGCTTTACTGTTTTTAAATGTCTACTATGCTGCATGTCATATACTTTCTGACTGTGTATAATTTGCTAATAATTTTCTTTCGTTTATAAATGAAAATGTCAGTCCTAATACAGTATAGACTCTTTTTGTTATTTTGGTTTATGATTTTCCTATCAGCGTTGCTCTTTTGAGTTTATGCTTTTACTTTTAGTCTTTAAAACCAGATTATTTAATAAAAGGTAGTTTAATGTTCAAAAATAATTTTCCATAACAGTAACATTTAACAATTTTAGTTTCCCGTTACTTAAGTTTAGCCATTTTAATACAATCAATATGCTAACATTGTGTTGCAACATGACATACAAACTGATGTGCATCTTTTCTTACTCACTAATCCATTTAAACAGATAAACATTTTTTAAAGTAGGGCCTACATACCCATTATTAAGATCGTCAGATATAAATGGTTTTTGTTGGGTGGGTTTCTTAACAATTTAACTTGTAATATTGGTAATAATCGTGTTCAATCTGTATTTAATATAAAAATAGATATATGAAATTGTGCTTGATGAATGATGTCACTATATGATTTCCTAAATATACTGCACAAAAGATCCATTTTGCATCAATTCTCACTTTTTAACTCCATGTATTTGTTAGTCAATTGTACCAATAATACCTACAAAAAAAAAAAAAAATTCAAATACCTCCACAATTCTCTTAACCTTTTTAAAAATATAAAACAATGAAAATAAATTGCAATGTGTAGGCCTACTAGCCAAAAAAATATAAACCTGTATTTAGACCACTAAAGACTTTTCTGCAAAATAACTTTGGATCATTAGAATTATTTACTATGCCTACAAATCATTTACACACTTATTTCCAAAATGTTATCACAGCTTACATTCAAAATAAATTCAAATATTCAATTTCAACTGGAATTTGCAAATTTATTTTATTTGTTAGTTCAATTCGTCCAACAAGATTGTTTCAGTGTTTTTGAGATCAGTTTTTTCTGACTGAGACAAGTTTAAAACTTTTTCACTGCTAAATTCAGTAGTATTGTAGAAGAGACTTTTCATTTGTGAAATTTGAAATACGTTATTGGAACAAACTACAACCAAATCTTTACCTTTCATGCTTTCATAGACACACCAATTCAAAACACTTGGCACATACATGGTTAACTTTCATGGTTAACAATAGAGCACAGGAAAATTTGTTAAACTGAAACTAAAACCATTAACCCCAGTTTAACTAGCAATGCTTGGTAGTATAGTCCCTCAATGGCACTTGCTTGTTAGTTTGGAAAGGTTTCATGCATATAGGCTAGCAGACGCAAACATCGGAAGTGGATTTAACAGCTGCAGAAACTAAGCCTTGGTGAAGGTCTACTTTAGTGGTAAGACAGTCTTTTTCTCTCACGCTCACGTTGGACGATGCTGTTTCCTTTACAGCGACAGGAAATTATTTCAGTACTTTAATGATATCTTATATCAGTACTTAAATCATATTTTTTTCATATGTTTGTATGAAAATTACTTGTTCATTTCTTAGGAAAGCGCATATTTTGAATGAACAATTTTTGGAAGTAGCCTACATATGAAATCTTAATGTTTTATCTTCCTGGACCCATTTTGACACTAACGTAAAAATTACTTACAAAAAAGAGTATCCAATTTCAAGTTGAAAATAGTAGTTGAAACCGACTTATCTCTGTTGCATATTTCCTAACTGATTCTGTAAAGGAAACAGCAGCAATTCTCTGTAAAAATAGAACTCACAAGGTGATGGTGGCACTGTAAGTAAACTTTTTCTACCATAGAGTTAGGTTAGGTTAATCTTATGATATGGTGGTGGCTTACATCCCCTTAATATGTAGGACAATTTAATTTAATTTGTTTCAATAAGGTTTTTACTAGGATTAATTTTGAAGGTGTGTTTATAGAAGCAATTTCAGAAATATTGAAAGCTTTAGAAAGATAATCAATCCAGAAATACAATTCAGACTTTTTTTTACAAAAAATAATGTGAAACTCTTCATCCTGCTCTATCAAAGCATGACGCTTGATTTGCTAACTTTTGCCAACTTTTATCATACCATATAGCTATTGTTTAAGTGTTATCAGAGTTTTTGTAAATCGCAATAGTTTGACTTGAATTGAAATTACAATATTGTTATGTCCTTGTTGTACTGTAAGAATGTATATCTATGTTGGTTAGGTGTATTGTTCAAGGATGTGACTTATTTAAAATTAATTGTTCATAAAGAAAGACATGAATGAACACAAAACACACTCAGAAAAATTACATTCACATACGAGCTGTGATGCAATGCTTATTCTCAATTTTACACTGCTTTTAACCTGCCTTAATCACAGAAGTAACCGCATTACTGTACTTAAAATGTTTAATCAGGTCAAGAAATACAAAAAAAATATTAATTAACTATCAGATCCTTAAACGAAACTAAAAATGCACAATGAGTATTTCCTACCCTTTCTATTTAATTTATAGCCATTAGCTAGCGATCTATTTATTTATTTCTAGTTCAAGTAAAAAATTCAACCTATTGAGATCTAGTGATGCAGCCTTAAAGCGCTGTTTTCATTTAAAAGTCCAACCCTGGCGGATACAAAATCTTGTTAATAAAAGATTATTATCTTTTGCAATTATTTCAAGATCATCTTAAGAATAAATTGAAATTGTAATAGAAAAACTAGTAAGGCAAACAATTTTTTTTAGCATTGATTTCCCTTTTCCACTAAATTTGTCGAGTTCAACATATCCGTATATTAATACCTCCTACTATATCTATGACTCTGTGCAGGGGGGGGGGGGATATAAAAATATTAATTGTAAAATAAATAGATCGACTAAATTTTGAAGTTCTGTGCAGCAAAACAATACTTAGGTTTAACTACTGTACCCGCATAGTCTAATATAAGGGAGGCTAAGACCTCTGTCCCAATCAACCCACTAACCGCATGTTGCTTACAGGCGTGAGGTCGGGTGACGTGACCCCCTCACGACCCACTAGCTCGCTGAGCATGAGCAGCGGGGCCGCCATGTCAATGTCCAGCAGTGTGCACGCTGCGTTCAAACCTCGTCCTACACCCCCCGCCAGGCGCCCTCGTCCCTTCAGCATCGCTGTCACAGGCGTCACCAGCGAGAACAGCACGGCCGCCTCTACGCCTACGCGACATAGTGAGTCTACGTCAAACTTGTGGTTGATTTTGAGTGTATTTGCGTTGTTGAAATTTAAATTGACCTTGAGAGTGAAACAGGGTGTACACTACTTCTGAAAATGATCAAAAAAGTTCAGGGTAACCCCTATTTTCTAAAAAAGATCCTAAGTTGGTTCTCGGACGTCCCTGGAAATCCACAAATTTTGTGTTCCCAATTCTTATAACTTATCACAAATGTTAAAATTTTTCATCGAATAAGTAATAAATTGTCTGGACCACAAGATTTTTTATGCTGTTGGTTATATTATTATTTGTTTGTTTGAGTGCATTGAGGGAAGGTGGGAAGGTTATAAATCATCCCCTTTATCAAGACGTTTTTTATCAGTTTTATTTTATCAGTTAAATTTAGGATTGTGGAATTTGATTATTAAAACTGTGGGAGTTTATCTCGTGTCCATGTGTTAAAATATACTGTCTGTTAGGGACTGATGAGGAAATTAGACCTAATTCTGAGGTACAAAAAGTGAAGCTTCCAGTTGTTTTTATTTACATAGGTTTTATATTGGATGACAAATCATCGAAAACTTTGAAATGCTTTGGCTGTTTGCTATTTTCTACTGCTATCTACATGTCTGCATGCAACTGAGTGTAAAGTTTATAGTTTTGTCATTAATGCCTTAACTGAGAGTATACATTTTCATATTTTAAGAATTATTACAATTTGTGAACCTCAGTTTGCGATAGTTCTATCAGGTTTCTCAATTAATAAATTATAACTATAAAAGTTTGTTTGGAAGAGATTTTAAACAGTAGTTTTACTTTGCTATAAATAACATATTGAATCTAGTTTTCAGGTCTTATAACAAGTCATGATCTTTCACCGATGTGTTTTTCAGGTTTAAGTGCAGAACATCGTGCGGCCAAGTCGCCGGCTCCGGCCCCAGACAAGGACAAGCCACCCCTGCCAAAGGTCCATGTGACAAAGAAGCCATCCACCCCCAAACAGCCCATAGAGGCTTTAAAGAAACCCACTGACAAAGTCAAATCCACCAAGGTAAGGCTGTGTACTAGAATTGACTTTAGAGGGTAGTCATCCGATCCATCTAAATCATCTGTTGCTAGTATTTCATTCAAACGGGACACTAAAGGTGGGAAATAATAGATTGTATAGTTTTTATAGAAGCTCCTAACCATAAAAAAGTTATGAATTTTGCAATTATTTGGACAAATATGTATAAAAGGTAGGCCTAAAATGTTTAAAGAAATAATTATAATATGCCACAGTTACAAGAAATTAAATTGGTTAAAATATATTGAATTGATATTTTTATTTTTATAATTTTTTTAAGGATTTCCAGTAACTAACACATTATGAGTGATATAATTTTAGTAAAATGCCTTAAAACCTTCTTTAAAGGCTACTATAAAATTTTCAATAAGACATATAAATCAAAAATAAAAATTATGCGAAGTTTTTAGAGAATTTTTATTTTATTTTAGGATAAGGTTTTGTATTAGATTATCTCTAAAAATTAAGCGTTAAATTTTAAATCAGCAATTCCACTCTGATTCCAACATATTCTAAATTTCTAAATATCCTAAATTGTTAAATAAAAATTCAAATCTAAGCGTCAACCTCAATATCAGTGACAAAATTAAAAACTAATTGTAAAACACAAACTGTCGCAACAATCGCACAGAGTGATGAGGTGTACAAACGCGGAACCAGACCACCAAATCAGCTGGTTCCGCCGCGTCAAAGCACGAAGGATGGTGAAAGCTGCGAGGCCTACTTGTGTAACTGAACCGTCCGATTGGTTCCAGAGTTCCGCAAGCCCGACTCCGAAAGCCACTCCGTTACAATCGCCCGGAGTGGAGACTGCAGAGACGACGGTGAAGACGACGGTCACTGCTACGGAGACGGTTACAGTCAACGGCGACCATGTGACGACCGAGACTGTGAGTGTGACGGTGTCTAGTGTGGAAGTGCCCGAGACGCAGACAAAGCCACAGGAAGTGAGGCAAGAGGTTGTGTCGCAGCCGCAAGAGACAGTGAAGCAAGAAGTCACCAAAGAACAGCTGGAACCTGCTACTAACTTGGCAGAGTGTGATATGACAGGTCAGTGAAAAAGTTTAGGTTACACGGTGAAGTTTTATTTTAGTTTTTAAATTGTGGTTGTATAGTTTTTAAATTTCTCACCTTTAAGCTAAAACTTTAGTTTAAACGTGTTAAACTTAGGTCAAAGTTATTTTAAACAAGATAAGATATTAATACCTACAGGGTTTCTCGTAAATAAGCCCAAAAAAAGGAAGGAATAGGTGTTATGGGTCTAAGTAAAACTAAGAATAATATTTTTCCAAAATTGCCTTGTTAGCGATATATTGTAGGTTTTTTTTTTCTACTCAAAATTTATATATTTAAAAGTAATTAAGATATTTTCATAAATTTGTTATAAGATTTGAAGTAATAATCCTATTTAAGAGGGGTAAAAAGTCTTAACAGATATTTTTTGTTCAAAATGGTGGCCATTTTGATTTGTATACCTTAAAAAACAGAAAAATGCCTTATTTTATGAAATAATTTCAACTAAACTTTTATTTAGCATTTGAAATTTCATTTTTCAAATAGGCTAGATGAAATATTAAGTTTTTTTTTTGTAAAATACTACTTGTGTTTGCAAATCAAATAATAATCATACTAAACTGAAACTCTTATTAAACACACAAGATTGTCAGAACTTCTTTAAATTCATTGCTTATTAAATGTATTTATTTCTTTGTTTTTTTATTTGATTAAACAATCAATAAATTAATATATTGTTGCCGTGGGAGATGATTAACACATTGTTGTGATTCTAATAGAAACCATTTTGAAAATGAATTTACAAGTTTTACATTTTTATTAAATAAAGTAAATAACAAACAGTAAGAATTTCAACGTTCACTAACACCCTTGGCGTGTTGCAGCATCAATGCTGGCCAAGACACGCATCACCACGGAGGAGGAGGCCAAGGCTGCCTTGGCGGAGAAGAGACGACTGGCTCGGGAACAGGCCGAGCGAGAGGCTGAACTGGAGCGGCAAAGACTTGTTAGTATCCCACGAATTTCTTGTTTGTAGGACAATCGTAACTAAAGACTAAAGACCAAAGAGTCAGTAATAATGCGTAGTCATTATCGGCTTCAACCCTTGTCATTTAACGTTACTTCAGAAGAATAAAGTTGATAATAAAACTACACCTAGCATCTAGCCTTTTGCATACTAGTTATTCATAATAAATAACACATTTGCTGCTGTTCCATAATTTTACTACAATTAAAAATAGGCCTAAATATGTTTTTCTATATTCATTGATATTGCTTTTTTAGTTATTCATCATTAGTAAATCAGTTAAATTTGTGTTTTTTCCTGGTGAAGATAAATTATTTGTATACAATCCAGTTTGATTTTTTTTACAAATAACTTTAGTAAAAGTATTTAGATACAAAACTGTCAAGGAGTTAAATGTTTACTAATTTTCATTTCATTTCATTCATTAATTGGAATAGGGATGTATTTTCATCCAGTGGAGATTTGTTGAATGTGTCTTCAAATTTTAACTTCTATGCAGGAAGCCGAGAGGCTAGCGGAGGAGCAGAGACTGAGGGAAGAAGAAGAAGAACAGCGGAGAATGGAGGAAGAGCAACTTCGGCTGTTGGAGGAGGCGAGACAGGCGGAACAAGAACGGCTGAGGAAAGCTATTGAGGTGAGTGATAAGCAATACTCTCTGTGAATTAGTGATGGGTCGGTACCACTTTTTCAAAGTCGGTACCACTTTTTCAAAGTCGGTACCAGTACCAGTTCCTAGCAAAAATTGATTCTCGGTTCCAGTTCCATTAGTACCTTATTTTAGTTTTTAGGATAGGCAACTTTTTTTTACAAAATATCAATACAGTATTTAAATTTTACAGTATTATGCATTAGTAAAGGTTTGTACAACCATGTTTTAAATAGTTTTACCAAGTTTTCTGAATGGATTGGTTATACTACAACAGCGCCTGTCCTTATGTCTTTATTTTCTATTAAGTATTTTTGTAAGTATTCTCAGGCAATATTAGCTAACTGTCTATTGGAGGAGTCTCCAATTAAAGTATATGAATACTGTTAGTCTGGAGATAAAATAGCAGCATTTTTATTATTTGCGTTTGAAATATGAAGTAACATTTTTAGAATTTACTATAGAATTATGTAATATTTCTAGGAGAAGCAAAAAAGAGAAGAGGAAGAAAGGTTACAAAGAGAAGAAGAGGAGAGGCAAAAGCGAGAAAAAGAAGAAGCGGAAAGGAAAGCGAGAGAGGAGGCTGAGAGGTGATTCTAACTTAGTTACTTTAATGTAAAAAATATTATTTTTTTATATATTAATTAGTACTAAATAATTATTTCTATTTTTTCCATTTTTTTTTTTTTGCATTTCTGTAATTTTTGCACACAGAGATTTTGACATGTAATATTTTAAGCCTATTATTAACAATTACCTTAGTAATTTATGTCTGAAAAAAATATTTATTGTCAGTACTAAAATAATGTGTTTTAGATTTTTAAGACACCATCACACTAGAGGGCTTGAGGATTAATAACATGATTTTTCAGTAAAATAAGTTCAAATGAAATCTTTTAAATTCAAAAGAGAGTTGTGAGGATGTTTTACTCATGGTGTGTTGCTAGCTTAATAATTAGCGTATCAGACTTTGGTGCAGAGGGGATCAGGTTTGATAACTGGCTTATCTATACAAATATAATGGATTTAGACTGCTCTCCCTTGAAAGTATTTGAGTTTTTCCCTCTCACAAAATTTAGGTTTATTTTATTTTAATTATCAAAAGATTACAGCTTGTTTCTTAAATAAAGGGGTTCCTCTAAATAAATAATTGCATGTTTTGCAAGAAGAAAAAACCAAGAAAAAATTTCCATCTTTTCTACCATTTGTTCTAAATTGATACATTACATTGCTATAACCAACTATGTGTATTTTTCAGGCAACGACAAGAAATGGAAATTCGGTTAAAAAAAGAAGAAGAAGACAGATTATTGAGACGGAAGCGAGTAGAAGTTATTATGGCACGAACCAGGAAAGCCACGTCTGCCAACAATACTCCTACAAAGGTAAAAAATATATACTTAATTTTGATATACCACGGTGTTTTACTTCATTCCTAAAGATTAATCTGTTTGAGTCAATCTCTTTACAAGAGATCCTACCATACAAAAGTTAAATAAAATTTGTCTTAAAACCATTTTATTCTATATGCAGATTGCAGTTATCATTGATCATAGAAACTTCTTTACGTCAAAAGATGATACCACAATTTTTGTCTTTCTTATGTAGCTTCTAAATATGTTTTTCTATTTGTGGGAAAAAAACTGTTGCAAAGCACAAAAAGCTTTTTGTCTCCAAAATAAACTTCCCTCTCAATGCAGGATTTGCAATATTCTGTTGCATATCAGCCAAACTCATGTCTACTTTGTTGACAAAGACTCACGGAGTGATTCATTTTTGGAATTTGTTCAACTGGCAAATGTTTAGATGTTCAGTTCATGTAAAATTCTCCGATGTTTGACAGGAGGACGGAGACGACAGTCCAGGTGAGGAGCCGCGTAAAGTCAACGACCAGGAGCAGTTTCTTCACTCGGAGCGAAGTCACTCCGCCGCAAACTCCACAAACTCCACAAACCAGAACGGACACCAGAATGGTGTTGACAATGTGTGAGTATCAAAAACCATTTTGTACTTTGTGATTCAAAATTGTTTATTAATATTTTAATCTGAAACAACTGTTGAGTAGGCCTATTTAAAGAAATGTAAGCCACTTTTGGGAACATGTTAGATCATTTTAGGTTTGTAAATTATTTCTGACATCTGTAAACAAGATGATTTGATAAGCTAACAATTTGTTGATTATCACGTATCTAAAATAAGTGTTCTTGAGCGATTTTATATGAAAATCTTGTTTTGGCTTTCTCTATGCTCTTGTTTAGATTTTTTCAATTGTTTGGGAATAAAATAATGGTGAACAGGGTGTCTACCAACCGGGAAATCCGGGAAAACCGGGAATTGTACTTAATTTTAGACTGGCCATGAAATGTACGGGAATTGTCCTTAAATATCAGACTATGTCCTTAAATAATTTTTGAGCCGGTGAGTGTTTTTCAACTGTTAAATAAAGCCGTGAGTTAGGTTTGTTCATCTTTATTTACCCTGTGTTCATCTTTATTTACCCTGTGTTCATCTTTATTTACCCTGTGTTCAACTGAATTTCACTTCCCAATTGTTATTTCAACTAAGTTTAGTTTGGAAAATGATGTTGTAACTGATATGACGCTGCCGTTGCATCGTCTGCTTCGTGTATGTTGGCCAATAGTCAATATTATTGCCGTCGTCGTCATAGACTAGAGGCAGTGAAGCAGACGTCATCTTCACAATCACAAGTTCACATTGAATGCTGCAGTTATAAGGTAAGTGAAACTAGGACGTTGTATTTATTATAAATCTTATAATAAGAATTACACAGAAATACCTACTTGATAAATTCTATTTTTGTTCATAATTGGATTGCTTAATAATAATAATGATACGATTTATCGACTTTCTTTTTTAAGTAAAGCTATTAATCATACTCATCAAGTACCATAGTTCTTATCCTTGCAGATGAAGACAATTGTATTTGTTAGTTTCGTCCTAGTGCGCTGGGATCGTGTTTTTTACAGTTTCTTGTTAATTCATTTAAAACCTTGTTTAACCAAGGAAACATCTAATCATATATAATAAATCGTCCCCTAGTTCACATTAAAGCACCAATCATAAAATTAACCCTAATATGATAGATGCATGGCTAGTTCGATACTAGCGCCCGGTTTCACCAACATGAACCATAAACGAAAAACTAACCTCAAATTTAACAATGGGATGGGAAGTCTGAGTTGGTTAGTCTGGTAAAATGAAAATGAAAGGCAATTTTTCAAAACTAAGAAGCTAACTTGCAACGTGAAATTTAGAAAGATAAGCTGAAATCAAAAAAGTGCAATACTTGAACGAACAAGTAGGCTATTAGTATTCGTGGGAAGATCAACTAGCTGGTAAAAAAAAACGGAATTTCAATTTTGTTCGAGTATGGAATAAAACGTCTTTTCTAAGCTTAATGAACAAGATTTTAGGTCAAATATTGTGAATTGTGACTGTGGATACGTTAATTTAGAATTATTAAAGTTAATCTACAACTGAGGAACTTTGCATGAAATGAGGTGTGGTGTGACATGTTACATCTCAATCGGACTAGACTAGGTTAGTTGGAAGATAGTGTGGAGTGGACTAAACTTAAGTAAAAATAGTGCTTCTGTCCGTGTCCTGTGAGTTTGAGTTTGAAAACAAGAACACTAAACTTATGCAGTTCATGTTCATGTAGTAAAGAAACGGTGGTGCAATACGTTAACAAAAAGTGAGTGAGTCAAACTTGTTTAGTATATATTCTTCAAATTTAAGTTATTAGGTGTAGGCATTGCAAAATTGTGGAAAGGTTGCAGATAGGGACAATTCCTTGCCTTGGGCATGACATAGGTTAACCTACGTAATTAGTATGTGTGAGCTTGTAGGGCTACAACTTAATATGACAATAATGTTTGGTAATCAAATAAACGGATGGACCATTGTCCTAAAAGGCAATGAAAAAATGCATGTGAAGGGAGGACAGAGGTGGAATTAAACTGATTTATGATCATATTAGGCTAAGTTTAATGGTATCTCGAAGACTTTCTGCTAACAGTTAAGTTAAATGATATCAGGGTGTTGAGTTAGAATAGGATAAAGGCTATTTCAGTTGTAGGACAATTTAGCTTAGGCCTATTATGATTTCGTTAAGTACGGTTGGTTAGGCTTACATATAACTTAATTGATCACTATCATTACAATTACATCAATCAAAAGTAAGTGAGTCTAATAAATAACTGTATTTGATATTTGATCATTTTGTTGACATACAATGCGTTTTGATTTAGTTTTTTGTGTCAACCAAAGGTTGCTGCTATGTTTGTTTAGACAATTTCCAGGAATGGTTAAACATAGGCTACTATTCCTAAGCTTAATTTTAATGTAGTTGAATCAGATTGTAGCTGGTGGAGTTGCTCAGTAGCCTATCATATTATTTTAACCTTCAATTTATATCTGCCTATATTGACAAAGGTTAATGCCATAAAACAGCTAGGAGTAAGCCTAGGTTTATCTAATTATGTAATCTCTTTATGTAAGTCTAGGTGCAATTTAACAATAAATTTAACAATGAATTTAATATGCCTAAAAGCTAAACTGATATAAACTACTCACTTAATCGAAAAGTAATAGACTAACTTCTTTTTATCATTCAGTTTTCCCAACATTAATTTATTTTCACAAATGTGATAACACTCATTTTTGGGTGCTGGATCATATACCAAAGTAGGCTTACCTAACTTGTGGTACTTTTTCTTTTTAGGAAACCATGAAGCGTTCAAGAGGAAGGTGCAAGTATCAAAAAGACTGGGAGGAAGTATATTCATGGCTGCAACCAGCAAAAGATGATGTATATTCTGCTAAATGTATTATTTGCTCCACCACTTTCACCATTGAAAGCATGGGTAAAACTGCTGTGAAAAGCCACTCATTAGGCAAAAAACACATGAGATTAGAATCAGATGCTAAAAAATCAATGCCTATGGACATCTTTATAAGGCCTAACACTCCATCAGTAGAAGTTATGCCAAGTACATCAAGGCCTACTGAACCCATTTCAACAGCGTCAACTTCCGCCTCCACAATAACTACCCCTCCAGTTCCTACCACCAAAATTATTAGGCCTACATCAAAAATTGATTCATATCTCCATCACAATGATGTCACAAAGGCTGAAATTCTTTGGGCCTGCCAAACAGTCATGACACACAGCTCGCTTAGAGCTGCTGCTAACTATACTAGACTTTTTCCGTACATGTTTCATGATAGTGAGATCGCTAAAAAGATTAAATTACAAAAAGACAAACTGTCCTACATGATAGTTTATGGTCTTGCTCCTTATTTTAAGGGTACACTTGAAGCAGTTATGAAAGCTTCAGAATATTTAGTTTTAGGTTTCGATGAAAGTCTAAACAAAATATCCAATAAACAACAAATGGATTTGGGGGTACGATTTTGGAATCAAGAAGAAAACAGGGTTTGCACTCGTTATTTAACATCAGCGTTTTTAAGTAACACAACTAGTGAAGACTTACTAGAGGCTATTAGAACCAACGTAAACGAAGAGTTTATGGGGAAAATTATACAGCTATCAATGGACGGACCGAATGTTAATTTTAAACTTAAAAGAATTTTTCAAGAAGGAATACAATGTTCGCCTGATTCAGTACAACTTTTAGATTTAGGATCTTGTGGTCTGCACACCTTACATAATTCTTTCAAAACTGGGTTTCAAAAGAGCGATTGGGAACTCATAAGCTTTTTTAGAGCAGTTTCTAACTTATTTTACAAATCCCCTGGGAGACGAGGCGAATTTACCAGAATTACAGGCTCATCGTTGTTTCCTTTTACAGTATGCTCAGTACGTTGGATAGAAAATGGAAAGGTTGCTAGAAGAGTGAAAGATATGTTACCAAACCTACAGAAATATGTAAGTGAAGTGAAGGGAACTGCAAAAGAACCATCTTGTTCTAGTTTTTCAATTATTTGTAAACATCTAGAAGACAAACTGCTAATGGCCAAGATCGCGTTTTTTGAAAGCCTTTGTGACGAAATAGAGCCGTTTTTAACCGAATTTCAGTCTGACAAACCTTTGTCACCATTTTTGTATGGCCAACTATCTTTTGTGTTGAAAAATATTGCGGCAAAGATTGTTAAGCCAGATATAATTGAAGGTAGCGACATAACCAAGATTGATGTCTTCAAAAAGAATGCGGAAAATATTTTTGAGAATCTTTTGCCTGTTAAAGAAATTGAACTAGGGTATGGTACTCGCGCTGCACTTCGACTTTGTCCAACACGTTCAGATAAAGCTCTTTTGCAGTTCCGCAAAGAATGTCGAAAAATCTTAATGCATTTTGTAGCTAAGTTGTTGGAAAAGAGCCCACTTAAATACCCTTTAACAAAAGCGGTAACTTGTTTAAATCCCTCTTTAATCTCCAAAGGAGACACTATGGAAGCCTTAAAGAGTTCTTTGAATGCTTTGTTGCAGGCCAACATAGTGTCTCCCAGACATTGTGAACTGGCGGACAGGGAATATAAACAGCTTTTATCCTCGCCAGATGTATTAAGTGAATGTAATTCTTTTAATAGGCACGAAACACGTTTGGATGATTTCTGGTTCAATTTGATTGGCAGAAAAGAAGAATACATTCATTTATTCAAAGTTGTTAAAGTCCTGCTTTCGCTCTCTCACGGCAATGCTAATGTAGAAAGAGGATTCTCTGTAAATAAAGAAATAATAGTTGAAAATCTTAAAGAAAGCAGCTTAATTGCTCAAAGGATAATATATGACTCATTGGTACTAGCAGGAAATGTAGAAAATTTAAATATTGAACCAAAATTAATACATGCTGTTAGAAACTCAAGTGCCAAGTATAAGGAAGCTTTAGCATTGATGAAGACTGAAAAAGAAAGAACTACCCAAGCTGAAGATGAAAAGAAAAAAGCTAAGCTAAAACTCAAAGAACTTGAAGAAAGAAAAAGAAAGTTATTAGAAGAAGCTG